TTTTTTTTTTTTTTTTTTTTTTAAAGATGACCGGTAAGGAGATCTTAACCCTTGACTTGGTGTTGTCAGCACCATGCTCACCCAGTGAGCTGACCGGCCATCCCTATATGGGATCTGAACCCATGGCCTTGGTGTTATCAGCACCGCACTCTACCGAGTGAGCCACGGGCCGGCCCCAATAAGTCTAAACTTCTATGGGGGCTGGCCAGTTAGCTCACTTGGTTAGAGAATAGCCTTATAACACCAAGGTCTAGGGTTAGGATCTTCTTTTTTTTTTTTTTTTTTAAAAAAGATGACTGGTAAGGGGATCTTAACCCTTGACTTGGTGTTGTCAGCACCACACTCAGCCAGTGAGCAAACCGGCCATCCGTATATGGGATCCGAACCCGTGGCCTTGGTGTTATCAGCACCGCACTCTCCCGAGTGAGCCACGGGCCGGCCTTCCTTTTTTGTAAAATAGGGATATAACAGCAAAAGATTTAATTCCCTTCAAAAGGTTTTATTCCCATAAAGAGCTTAAAACACACCTAGCACACAGTCCATAAATGATATCATTATAATAATGGTGATTATCATTTATTATTCCCGTGGGTCAGCTGTCAACCCAAGATCCATTTCACAATGACCATTCTTCCCTCAGTTTGTCTCCAGGGGGAACTTCAAGGCCCCACCCAAGGTGTGTTGCCCGGACAACGGAGCCCGATCCACATCACCAGGACAGACTGTGGTCGTAGGAAAGCGGTCACCCAGCATGGTTAGGATCTTCTTATCGGCCAGCTGCCACACCTAACTCCTGTTCTTTCCCGTAAACAAATGCTTCCCTATTAACATTTTTTAAGACATACTGTGAGATATATACTCATATATCCATATCTAACTGTTTATCTTTCCAGCTCTCTATATAAAATGCTTAACTTTATCTCATAGGACAGAATCATCTGTTTCCAGATGAAGTAGGCCTACTGGGGAACTATAACATGAGACAAAACACTTAAACAAATGTATAATGACATTAATTCCCCCATTTAGTATGGTTTGTGAATACTACGTTTACTTTAATTTCTAAAGAAAGTTGATCGTTAACCACAAAAATAAACAATAGATTCATTTATTTGGGGCCATATACTACACATATAGTTTGTCTTGGCTTAGTAGCAAAAGATTATTTCTAATTTTAGTAAACTTAATTTTTGATAGAACTAAATTGTGAAAAGAAGACACTGCGGGAAGGTAATAGGAGTGGGGAACAGAGAATTGTAGAGAAGGGGAAGAATGAGGAATAACAGAAAGCAGAAGGTGCTCCCCCAGATCTTAGTTTAGCCCTTCATCTAATAAAATGAAGATCGCTTGAACTACAAAATAACTTCTTTCATGCTACATTTTAAAAGTAGTGGGGAAGAGGCTACTTTAAAACCTCTTAACACTCATGCTAATCTCAAACTCATCCAGTGGCTTGTTATCCCAAAGTGAATGGATACATCCTCAACTCCAGTCGTGGTGAAGACAGTATTTTCTAGGATGCATCTATCTATTCTATCACTAGTCGTTTTTCCATATGCTTATTACCTCCAGTGTGTCAGCAGCCTGGTGCAATGCCTCATCTCCTCCCACATGGAAATGGCAACAAGCTACCTGGCTGGTTCCTTTGACTCCAGTTCCTGTATCCTCTAATGCAAACTTCATAGCTTTCATTCATTCATTTGGTGAACAGATAATTATAATGGTTGTGTGTTCTTCTGGTTTATTTCTATTGTTCATACACATCTCTTCTACCTGACAGGTCTCTTTACTGAGTTGTACTGCCATGCCATATCCTCACATCCCTGCTTTTCCTGGAGTGCCCTCCTCTTTTTCACCTATCTAAGCTCTGATTACCTTAAAGGCTGAACCTGAGCCTGCCTTTACCATGAAGCCTTCCCAAATTACTCAGCCCAAACTGATGTCTCTGAATTTACAGCTTTTATGCAGTAGAATATCATGACTTAGCTTTTTACCATGTCTTATGTTGTTGTTCTGTCCTTGTTTTAAGAGTGAGACCCCTCTAGCTAACTCCTACTCACCTCTACTGGGAAGTCATCTCTGATCCCTGTTTGACCTGTATGCCATTCGCCTGGGCTCTCATAGCACTCTGTGCTTACTACTCATATAACTCACACTGTGCTATGATCATTATTTATTTGTCTCCCTAAATAGAGTGTTTGAATACAGAGTCTAAGCAAACCAGTTTCTAACAAGTGCCTAACACTCAGAAAACAAGAGGGAAAATATCAAACCCCATAATGGACCTCTACCACTAGCAGCATGGATAAGAGAAAGGGCTCTCCCATTAAAATACAACCAGATCCTGAATAAGTTACAGCTAACATAATTTTTAGCACATTGCTGGGTTTATCAGAGAGTAAGGGAAATCACTAAAGGGAAAAAAAGCAAACAAACATTAAGCTGGAATCTATTTAAAGGACAAGCAGCATACAGTAGTAGCAGGTTTGCCCTGGGGACCAATGCCAATGTCAGCATTGTGAACAGAGTCTAAACCTTGGGACCAGCTAAGGAAGGGGAGAAAAACCGGAGACTCCTGAACTAAACTTGGATTCTTGAAGGGGCTAACACAGTCCCAGGTCAGGAGCACCCCCTGGCTCCTGGTAGAAACAAATGTAAATACTTTCGGGAGGGAAGTACCCCGCCCAATTTGGGCCCTCAGGATTCCCATAGATTAAGTTGAGCAAAATATGAGTTCAAAACCCTGAAGTACAAAATATGCAAGGAAACAAGCTACTGTGGGCAGGAGTAAGCAGAAAACAACAAAACAGATTTAGACATACAAGATAAGTTATAGAATATAAAACAATAAGCTCAGCAAATTTTAAAGAATTAGTATCATAGACACCACATTTTCTGAACACAAATAATTAAACTGAAAATCAATATCAAAAAGATAATTTTTAAAATCTCTAGATATTTAGAAACTTGTAAAGCTTTTCTAAATAATTCATGAGTCCATGGTGCTGATAACATCAAGGTCCAGGGTTCGATTCCTGTACCTACAATCTAGTTTTATTTATTTAATTAATTTATTTATTTTCCTTTTTGTCTCCTTTTTACTGACCGGTAACGGGATTGCAGCCCTCGGTGTCATGCCCGCACTGCACTCAGCCAGTGAGCGGGAACCGGTCTCCACATGGGATCTGAACCCTCCACGGGAGCGCTGCCGCGCTCCCAAGCGGCGCACTCTCCAGTGCACCACCGGGCTGGCCCTAGTTATATTTTAATGTGAGAGCCCTTTCTCTTATCTATGCTGCCAGTAGCAGGAGTTCATTACTGTGGTTTGATATTCTTCTTCTTGTTTTTTGAGTGTTAGGCACTTGTTAGGAAGTGATTTACTTAGACTGACTTCAAATATTCTAGTTGGGGAGATCGACAAGTAAATAATGATTACAGCACAGTGTGAGTTATGTGAGTAGTAAGCACAGTAGTAAGCCAGCAAAAAAAAAAAGAAAAATGGGCCGGCCCGTGGCTCACTCGGTAGAGTGCGGTGCTGATAACACCAAGGCCCCGGGTTCGGATCCCATATAGGGATGGCCGGTTTGCTCACTGGCTGAGCGTGGTGCTGACAACACCAAATCAAGGGTTAAGATCCCCTTACCGGTCATCTTTAAAAAAAAAGAAAAAGTAATTCATGAGTCAAATATAACTTAAATATTTTTAGAACTAAATAATTGAAATACTGTACAACACAGAAAAACTTGTGGGATGTACAGAAGCAGGTTCTTGAAAACTTAAAATAGAAGACAGGCTGAAAATTAATTAGCTAAGTATCAAAATTAAGAGGTTATAGAAGAACATAAATTAAGCCTAAAGAAAGTAGAAGAATGGAGAACCTATAGATAAAATCCATAATTAATCAAATGGAAAACAAATACACAAGGGAGAGGATCGACAAAGCCCATAGTAGTATCTAAAGACACACAGGTAAAATAAACACATTTCTGGTGCAACTGATCAAGGAAGAAAAGAGAAGTCACACGTAAATAGTAGAAATGGAGGATATGACTACCCAGAGAGCAGAGGCAAAAGAGAAAAATAGAATATATGAACTTCATGTAAAAAAAAAAAAAAGATATAAAATGCACAAAATACTAGAAAAACATTTTACCTAAACTGACTCAAGAAGAAATAGAAAGCCCAAATAGCCAATAATTATTAAAGAAATTGAATCAATAGTTAAAATTATTCCCACAAAGAAACACAGGGCTCAGGTGGCTTTACAGGTGAGTTTTACCAAACTTTCAAGGAACAGTTAATTTCAATCTCATATAAACTCTTCTAGAGAATAAGACAAGAGGGAACAGATCCCAACTCAGAGGGTATACAGACCAAAGGACCATCTTAGAAACCTATCTAGAAGTCTTACTAAAAACAAAGGCACTAACATGTACAAGAATGTTTACAGCAGTATTGTTTGTAATAGCAAAATCTGCAAACAGTCCAAATATCCATTGATAGGTGAATGAATAAATAACTTGTGGTTTATGCGCTTGATGGGATATTATACAGATTAAAATGAATGAATCCCAGCCATCTACAACATGGATGAATCTTAGAAACAATGGTAAATGAAAAACAAACTGCATGGGGGCCGGCCTGTGGCTCACTCGGGAGAGTGCGGTGCTGATAACACCAAGGCCACGGGGGGATGGCCGGTTCGCTCACTGGCTGAGCGTGGTGCTGACAACACCAAGTCAAGGGTTAAGATCCCCTTACCGGTCATCTTTTAAAAACAAACAAACAAAAAAACAAAAAAACAAACTGCAGGGGACTATTAAACATTTTTGTAAAGCTAAAAAACAAGCAAAACTAAATAATGCATTTTAAAAGAATATATACATATATCATTAAATATATATATATATATAGCAGTAATTAATAAACAAAATTAAGGACAGTAGTTACCTCAAAGAAAAGGCAGGAGGACAGGATAGTGAGGAACACAAACTCAGTGATATTTCTAATGTTTTAATGTGTAAATTGAATGATGGGGTCATAGGTATACTCATTTTATTATTATGCTTCATAATTTATTCAAGTTACATATATTCTTTATAGTTATCAAATATTACATATTATAATTTTAAAAAATTTGCTGTGGTGGAAATAAATGAACAAATGAATGAAGTCTCCCTGAAAGAAAATCTGTATTTCTTGGGAAGAACCAAGATTCCCTGACAGAAGCTACCCTATGTAGGTCCTCAATAAATATTGGTTTACCGCTTTCCCCAAGGACACACCTGGAGGGTCTGGATTCCCTTCCCACTGGTGCTCCCTGACACGCAAAACTACTCCTTTCTATACATGTAGCATAAACCCGTCTTGGCTAAATCCTGACATGTGTATGACGAGAGACTGACACCTGGTGGATACAGAATGAATTTAATGAAATGACTAGGAAGTAAATCTTTCACTTTCATTGGTAGAAGTGGCAATAGGATAGGGGATAGGGAAGCCGGAATGAGGAGAAAATGAAAATTCAGGAACAGGAAAAGGAAGGAATTCCATCTCTGAAATGTAGATGGGGGGAAACAGTAGATTGTCATCTAAAGACTGAAGAGAGTCCCTACAGGAGAGACTTCCCTCTTCTTCTTTCTGAGACTAGAACAAGAAGAAAGGGGTTATAGCTGCAGTAAGGGAAATGCAAGACAGGAAAAAAGGAAGCAGTTCTAACTGATCACTACCTAGCAGGGTGAAACCACATGTACTTCATAGTGGTAGCCAGGTGTCAGCTGCCTCCCCAGCAACTCCCCTCTCCCAGTTTCCATTTCAGGAATCAATATGGTTCTGAGGAGACTGATCCCATCCTTTTTCCCAAAGGTGTAGTCCATGATATAGAATAAGCAAATTAGCATATACAATCCTCCTGGCCACAGTGATTGGTCAGGGGTGGACATGTCACCCAGGCTGGCCTAATCAGAATGAATCTTAGGGCTTTTGCTAGAACTCCTGGCACAGAAAAGATGCTTTTTTTCTGGTTGGACAATGGGGAAACAAGTAATACTAGAAGAGTTGGCACCCATGAGGTGGCCCAGCCTTAAGATGATCCTACAGAAGGTGGAGCAGTGAGAAAAAAATCAATCAGGTATTTAGAGACATACTGAGACACTAGATCAAGCTTCACCTGGAACCAGCACTACCTCTGGACTTTCCAGTTACATGAGCCAATAAATCCTTTTTATTTTAAGATACCTTGAGTTAGGTTTTCTATGATTTCAAACCAAAAGATCCCTAACCTATCCATTCATCATACTTACCCCATCCCTATCTTCCCACAGGATAGCACAGGGATCCATCCAGTTAAGGACACTACAGATTTATTGGTTACACTAAAGCCAAGGGTATCAAGCTGGAAAGGTCACAGGCAGTAACCAGGCAATATGTAAAACTGGATGACTCAGCTGTCTATACAAAGGAGAATGGACTCCCTTAGAAAAAGAACAGCCAAATGAGAAGCAAGTGCAGAGAAGGGCCTCTTCTAGGCATACAGGTAGTTAACATATGGATATAAACACTATTCCCCACAAGATCTATTATGGGGGTGTTGCTTTGGGGTCTTTATGCTCACGGGATAAGGAACTTTGAAGCACATACCCCTTTAAGTCTTTATTACCCTGTGCTGCAGTGTCTATCTCTCCCTTTACCAACTGAAGAGCCTCCTTTTGGCTTCTACTGCCCCTGATGACACTCACTTTTGGAGTGACAAGAGGAATTTTATCTTCTGCTTCTTTGGCATGCCGGGAACTGGGGCCCCTTCCTCCTTTGGAAACAGCACCATCTTCCTGACCTTGGGCAAGCACTGCCCTCTTCTCAGCCTCTCCCATTGGCCCTGGCCTCTCTGACCTTCCATCTGAGTTGCTTTCCTCTCCAGAGCCCCATGTCTCCCATGGTAACCTTGAAGACTGCTGGGCAGAGTCCATGGCAGTTGCTGACTTCTCAGGGGTAGAATTCCTTTCCCCACTTCCACCTGACTTTTTTCTAGGGCGCCCCCGTTTTCTTTTGGCATCATTTGCTGCATCCTCTATATCCTGCTTTGCTGCTTTAGCTGGTGGGTCCTGCCCACTGGCCTCACTCACAGGTACTTCAGCTGTTCTCTTGACACCCTTGCCATGAGGTCCTGGGTCACCAGCTATGCCTACCTCCCTGTTCTCCGTGCCCCGGGGCTGAGTGAGTCCCCCAGGTGAAGCTCGCCCAGGCCCAGGTCCAGGCAAAGCAGGAACAGTTGGTAAGATCATGTTAATGATGGGAACAGCTGCTTGGGGTCCCCCAGCCCTACTGGACAGAGGCAGTGTAGCCACTTTCAGGGCACCTGAAGAAAGCTTGGGGGCCAGGATGGGTGGAGAGACTGGGATTGGCGGAATAAGTGAGCGAGGGGCCCGGGGAAGCAGCAGAGGCAGCCGGGCCACTAGTGCATTAACCTGTGGGTTATTGGCTGCCGGGGCCGAGCTCTCGACTACATTCTTCTTCCGCTCTCCACGTGCTGGAAGGCCAGCCCCAGCCCGGGCTTCCAGCTCCTTAGGAGGCTAAAAAGTAAAGAGAGGAACACAGTAAGGCATAAAGACGGAACACTGGAGGAAACATAGACACCAGAGGTTGGGATGTAAAAAAGTATGGGATCCAAGAGGGGAAGGGTATACTGAGTCCCCAGCCTAGGAAAGCAAAGCCAGGGGAATCAATCTGCTTACCTGGGCCAGTCTCTCTGGTTTCTTATGGGCTCCACCCTCTACGTTCTCTACACCATTCTTGGATTTAGATGACCGTTCCCGAGGGGCATGTTCATCCTCTTCTACAGAGGTGCCAGAAGAGGTAATAAAGTGAGGGAGGCAGAAAGTGAGGAATGGAGGAGTGAGTCAATTCTGATTGACTGACTGACTAGTAGAGACAGGGGAAAGAAGGTAGTCCAAAGCACGGCTTAGAAGGGTCTCCAGGAATAGAAGCTAAATCCACAGTGTCTCTATCTAGTTTGTGGGAGGGCCTTCAAGGCTGAAAGGGACTAAGGGTTTCTCAGACATAAGAGAGGGTCCACCCACCAGCAAGCCCCATGGCCTTAAGCACATGGGCATGTGCAGATCGGGCAGAGATGAGATGCTGCTGTAGTAGGAAGCGGGCGACCTCAACAATGGAACTGAAGGACCGTTTCAGGATTCGCTCTGCCCAATCACAGGTCAGGGCACAGGCTGCCTCTACAAGTTCATCTCGAGGTGCTGGGGTTACTTCTGGGCCCATTTCTGGCTGCAGCAGGGAAGGACATGCCCAATCACACTCCAGATTAAAGGACCCTTGCCCCCTCTCTGACACTACTATTGACCAAAGCTGAGATCAGACTAGAGTAGCCTCTACACATCCCATCCCAGAAACCCACAAATTCTCTTCATCTTCTGCCTCAGCCATAGGGTAGGCAGAAGGGCATATCCTATATACCCAGAAGCTGTGTACATAATGACCAAGGAAGGCTGTATCAACCTTCAAAACATGTCCCAAAGACCTCTGACTTTTACCTGGGAGAGCAGAGTGGAATTGGAGGGTAATTTGTTACTTACACTCTCAGAACCCTTTAGGTCAAGTCCAGGCAGGAGTGGCATAGATACCAAGGTCTTCCTTCGTATGCCACTGTAGCAATACCTGATGCAAGTTAAGGAGCAGCCAACATATTGGGATCTCCAAGCCCCGTACACAAGTCAGGCTCTTTCCACTCCTGGCTCTTCGCATCCTAACCTCCCTGGGTCTTCTAGTCCCACCCTCTTCAGTCAAGGATACTTGGACTGGCCCCGGCCACCAAGCCTTCGGGCCTTGATGTCAGGGAAGATCTCTCTGATGATTTTACCAAAGTTGGCTGTGCTGAGTGGGCGGCAACAGGCAAGACTCTCACAGTACTTCCTGAGTGAGTGGGGGGCAGAGTGGGAAGATACTCAGAGAAGGAGACCATGGTGGGTTCAGAGGGTCCCTAGGGATCAAATGTGGGGAACCCTTTAAAAAGTCATGCTCTATCAAGGCAGGGAGCTCTCCAGGGCTGAGGGGGTAGTCCTATGCCCACCAACCCACTCACCCACCCCTCCTTCCACCCACCGATAGGCATCATAAACACTTTGCTTTGGCAGACAGGTATCAGTGTGCTCTTCTAGGTGGTTGCGGATCCACCTATAGGCATACATATACTCTTCATTGCTGAGTGTACTCGGCTCTGAACTGCAGAAATGAAAGGGACAAACATTACTAAGACCCTAACAGTTGTCCTCGGTTCTTCCCAGACTACCACTTCAATAGTGCTGGACCAAAATAGTCTACCCAGAATCCTCTGGTAAACCGAACAAGGGCAGGGACCTTTCTTCTTGATCAAGGACAGTAGTTATGGGACTTCCTTTTCACCTCCCCCCTTCCCAGTGAGCCTTTCTTTAAGAATCAGAATCTCTGACATCTCAAATTCCACCATGAAACCTACCTTTTGTCTCCAGTGCTGGGTCCTGCGGGGAGCTGAAGGTAGAGATATAGCTTGTCGTTGTCTGAGAATTTCTGTACATCTTGCTGTGAGGTATTGGGAAACAGAGGCAGGAGAAATCATAATGCCAAGAAAGATGCAATGTAGGACCCTCTGATCCTTTCCACAGTCTAGCTGACTTAGAGGTTGTCGGACTGAAAAAGGACCTTAGAAATGATTTGAGTCTGGGTGCTCACTGTGCTCTGAGGAGCGCTACAGGCTCCCAGGGTGAGAGGGGGAGCAGAGGGGATCAGCTCTGATTTCATCTCTACTGGGCTTCTACACAAGAGGTTGCAGAGAGATAAAGTGAGATGTTCAAAGTCAAAGTGGCAGCAAGTTGCAAAGCCAATTATCTTCTAACAAGGTAGACAATGCTGCCTCTCCTGAATAAACTTTTCATTTACCCATACCATCCTCACCATCCTCACCCCCCATCAATTCCATCTCTCTGTTGCCCTTTTCCCCATCATACATACCAGGATTCCCTCTACTTTGTTCTGCACGGCCTTGCTGTGGGGAAGAGGAGAAAGCTGGAGGTCACACACAAGATTTTCCCCATTCCTTTGTCTGATTGCTAGAGAGGGAAAAGGACTGAAATGCATAGCAGGTGTTCAACAACTGCTACTAAGACCAAGAATCTCCCCTTGCTCAGGGAGAGGCAGTCCATCTACAGAGGAAGTGAGGTGCTACAGGGATCTATACCCAGGGCTGGGACAGGATTTGGAGATGGTGATGAGTACTTACGAAATGGTACCTTGGAGCCTTTGAAGAAGGGTGGTAGGTTCCCCAGCCTCAACACCACCTGGGGGGGGCCTGCCCCTGGCCTTGGGGCTCTTAGCATCGGGCTCATCTGCCATCCCGGCATGAGGGCTAGAATTCAGAGGGGAGAAGGAATGATTTAACTCACACCAGACTTCTCTTCCCCCAGAGACCCCAGGGTGCTTCTCATCTCTCTACCCAGAAAGACACTGAAACAGAAACAAAGCCTCTGAATGTCCCCAGTTGTCATTTTTCTCACCACTTGCCTTCTCCAAAAATTAGAAATTACTCCATTACTTCGCCAGGCCCATATACACCCAAAGAGATCTTTGCCATCTCCATTCTATTTGCCCCACCTTTCCAAAGTCTCCTAAATCTGGAAAACTGTAAAGGAAGAGATGGGGGTTGGGAATGCACGTTAGAAAGAAATTTTCATTTCTGCCTCTCCTCCCCCTCAAAAACAACCACCACCACAGAACAAAGTTCTCTAATTCTCTAATACACTCCTCACCATGGAATTTGCCTGGGAGGTCAGAAAGGATACGAACAGATTCTGCCCTTCCAGGTTTTAAAAAAAAAAAACCGGGCCCAAGTTCTCATTACTGAATCTCGCCACGGATTCCCCCGCTGCTCCCCCTCCCCACGTCGCCAGCCCTACGTCATCTCCCACAACATCCCATCCTGATGCGCGCCCCCTCCCATCCCCTCCATTCAATCTCTGGCTGACGCAAGGTGGGGGGCTCAGGGTGGCAGAACTCCAGGGCTGGGCGTAGGAAACCCGGCAGGGGGAAGGGGTCCCAGATTCGGGGCACGTGCACATGGGTGAGGAAGCTACTGAAAATACGGTCAAAATCTTTTTCTGCTCTCCTCCCGACTCATACTGACCCCTCCCTACCTCTGAACAGTCGCCTTCCAACACAGTCAACGATAAAGGTAAGAGAGAAAGAGAAACTACCTCGCAGCCACCTTCACTCCAGCCCAGCCCCACGGTCCTGGCCCAGCGGGCTCGTGCGTTGCTTTATTTTCCTTTTTCTGAATGGTTGTAACAGCCGCGATCTGCCTGGATACACGGGCGGCCTGCTCTGTCATTGGTCATTGCTGCCACCCGGAGACAGAAGGCGCCGGGCTCGCACCGGCGGCAGCTAAAATCTGCCTGGTAACAGAATCTGATTGGTCAATAGGGGAGGGAAAATCCAAAGTTGGTCTTATTTAAGTCAAGAGGGGGAAGTCCGGGTTAGGTTTCGGTTAAAACTGGGGTCGGCTGGGACTGCCGGTCCCAAGAGGTTCTTCTCTTAAAGGGACCGCAGGACGAAAGAAACGGGCGCTCGGCTCCCCTTGGAGCGTTCTTTATTTTTGCCCCTCTTCGTCTGTTTCAGTTTTGCCTCCGGCCGTCGGAGCTGCCGGGAGAAAAGAATCGATGGATGATAAAATAACTAGAAAATTATGGGTAGTTATGATGGAAGTTCGCTGTAAGGTCATATAATCTCCTTTTGATGTAAAACAAATTGAACCATTCCCGCCCCGCCCCGCCTCCGGCATGAAACCTGCAAACAGGCTCTCGTTCCTCATTGATGGAGTCCTCAAAACCTCAGCAGTTGTACCGCATTAAGCTAAGATGCTTTTTTCCCTCTTTGTGTTCCTTGCGTTCCCTGCTGTACTTTATTTCCTTCTAAAGAATTGCTAATTCATTTGCATCCTCGTGGTTCTGCACTCAGTGAACACTGGAATTTTGACTGACTCCCACAGGGGGTGCTGGATGCCCACATGAACTTTTTACCCTCAGAGAACATTGTACTGAGTACGTCATGGCTTCTTAACCCTCTTAGTTAAGGCTTTTTTTAAAGGACACGAACCAGATGAAAACAATGGGCCCTCTGCCATGAAAAATGCACATAACAGACCAAGTTTTGCATCCAATTACAGAGGTCGTGGACTCCAGGTTGACAGCCTCTTAAATGGATGTATTTTGTTTTGCACAGCAGATATGTTACGTCCAAAACTACATTTTCAGTCCTGACATTTAATACGTTGTCCAGGCTCATCATCAAAGTGCTTTTGTAAAGAAGACAGCAATGTTGCCCGATCTCATCACCATTGCCCTTCACAGCCTCCTTTTCCCTTCCAGCTTCTGTGGGCACTGGGGGAACCTAGGGGATTGTGGAGTTGGGGGAATAAGGATATACTGACAAGAAGGTTTTCTAATAACAGCTAAAATTTATTTGGTGTTTATTGTGTTCCAGACACCATGCAAAATTATAAATACCTCATGTAATGCTCACAGCAACCCTCTGAAGCAGATAATATTACTGTCTCCATTTTACAGATGGGGAAACTGAGACTTGAAGCTGTGAAGGAACTTGTTCACATTCACATATGTAGCAAGTGCTAGAATGAGGATCCAAAGGCAGGCAGTCTGCATCCAGTGCCCATTCTCTTGAGCACTGTCCTAGTCTGCACCTATACATATTTTCAGATGCTTATCTACAAATATGGGTGTAGACTGATGGAAAGGTACCCCAAACACCACTGTTTGGTATGAAGGGGAATCGAGAGCACTTTGATTGGAAATAGAGTTTTGGGTAAATTATGGTGGCTTAAAAATTTGCAGGTGACAGGGAATAATTGGCAGTTTTAGTAAAGGGAGAGAAAGTATCATAGCTATGTAAGGGAGATTACTTTGACAGCGTTGTAGAAGGTGGGATTGGGTGGAGGAAAAGGCTAAAGATGGGAAAAACAGGGAACTGCTCATTTAAGCCAGGAATTGTGCTAAGAGCTAGGGATACAAAGCTGAATAATGTATGGTCCTTGCTCTTAGAAGTAACAATAAAAATTGTCTGATAAACATCATCATATTATAATAATAGCAAATATTTATATAGAGCTTAATATGTGTTGGGAGACTATTCTAAGGGCCTTACATATATTACTTCTTTATCTCATAACAACTCTTATTAGATAAGTGCTATGATTATCCCTTTGTTACAGATGAGGAGACTGAAGCATTGAGAGGTTAATAATTTTCCCAAGGTGACAGAGCCAACATCTGAACCTAGGCTCTTTGGATTCAGAATTTGCTTTTAGGCACTATTGTACATATAATAATGTAATATAATATGATATAATATAGATTGGTAGGTTGCCTACAAATATTGTGAATTTCTTAAACACAAAAATCCAAGCAATTAAGGAAAATATTGATAAATTCAGAGACAATATTAAAAAGTTAAATTTATTTCAAAGATCACTATAAAAAGACTATAAAGACAAGCTACAAATTGGAAGAAGATATTTTTAAGACATGTAGCTGGCAAAAGATTATTATTTGGAATTTATAAAGACTTCTTAAAAATAAAAAATAATCGATAAACAGCCAAACAGAAAAAAGGGCAGGGGAAATTAACATGAATTTCATAATAGAAGCAGAAAAAGCTCACAAGCATGTGAAAAGTTGTTCACTCTATATAATAATCAAGAAAATGGAAATTAAAACCACAATAAGATACCATTTGGTCCGACCCCCGTGGCGCACTCGGGAGGGTGCAGCGCTGGGAGCACAGCAGCGCTCCCGCCGCGGGTTCGGATCCTATATAGGTTTGTCCGGTGCGCTCACTGGCTGAGCGCGGTGCGGCCGGTCACAAAAAAGACAAAAAAAAAAAAAAAGAAAAAAAAAAAAAGAAAAGAAAAGATACCATTTCATACCCACTGAATCGGCAAAAATTAAAGTCTAGCAATATTGAGGGTTGGCATGGCTGTGGATCAACAGGAGCTCTCATCCACAGCTGTGGGAGTGTAATTTGGCATAGCCATTTTGGAAAATAGTTCGGTATTACTTGGTAAAGTTGCATATGTGAGTGTCTCAGTATATGCTGAATATCTCAGCAATCCCATTCCTAGGCATATGTCCTAAAGGCACAGAAATTGATATTTATAGTCTCTCTGCTTGCATTAGCAAAAACTGGAAACAACCCAATGTCCATCAACTGTCGAATGTAAGTTGTGGTATATCCATATGATGGAATGTCACAGAGCAGTGAAAATGAATGAGTTACAGCTACACACATCCACATGGATGAACTTCAGAAACAGAAAGGACTAAGGGCCGGCCTGTGGCTCACTCGGTAGAGTGCGGTGCTGATAACACCAAGGCCGCGGGTTCGGATCCCATATAGTGATGGCCGGTTTGCTCACTGGGTGAGCGTGGTGCTGACAACACCAAGTCAAGGGTTAAGATCCCCTTACCGGTCATTTTTAAAAAAAAAAAAAAAAAAA